AGTGCCTTTTCCTCCTGAGTAATGTAGGTCCTGTTTGGCATTTTCTTCCGAACAGGCCTTATCACACTGTGTATGCAACCATGATTCTTAAATCTCTTAAACCAACCTTTGCTGGCCTTAAATTCACCAATATGAGCACTAGTTCCAGGCATTTTTTCCTGTTCACCTGGGTGTTAGTCGGCTGGTGTGGGTCGCATCCTGGGGCACAAGATTAAGGACCCCAATGGAAATAAGCTAGACAGTCCTCGATGGCACACTGACTTTCTTGGGTTATCCTGGGTGGCTAACCCTCTGGGGTTAATTGTTTCTCGGTATTCTCGATAAGCCACACCAATAACAGTCTCTCCACATCTTCGAGTAGTACAGCTGACCGTGGTGCAGCAGGAGCTGATGGTGCTACAGCAGCAGCTGACAGTGCTACAGCAGCAGCTGACCATGGTACAATAGTATTTCTCACCCTTTTTACCACAGGGCTGGCACTAGAAGCTTTTTTGGGGCCCATGGAGGCTTATTTAGCAGTTACAAGCACTTTAATAGCAAAAAATTTATCGAATGTATGCATGCAACCGTCCGCCCCGGCTTGTAAACAATGTCACACTAGCTCAGCTGAGGCGCTCAGGCCAGATGGACCAGATGGCTGCATTCGGGATGAATAATGTAAGTCGAGTTTTTCAACGTAGGTCAGGGTCAAATTTTTATGCTAACAAGCATCATAAGTCAGTTTTAACATAGGTCGAGGACATCGTAAATCAGGGGTCCACTGTACTGAATTCCAGGAATCAGGCCCAGGTGTTGCATGAATGCGCATGTTATCTATTTTTTTTTTTCTTTTTGAAGTTTGAAAGATTTGCATTGATGGCAGATATACAATGTAAAGAGTGGGCAGAGTTAGTGAAGAAATTATTAGTCTTCAATACTCATGATGTCTATTGGATTGTTGAACACTGATTCATACTGTTCTTTTAGGATTTAGCTCATTTCATTTCTGTGTTTTTTTTTTTTTTCAACAAACCAACCATATCCCACAGAGGCAGGGTGACTTAAAAAGAAAAACTAAAGTTTCTCTTTTTAAATTTAGTACTGTAATGTAATTGTTTTACATGATGGTAGGACTGCTGGTGTCTCAAACATGCAAGGTTTCAGGTATGTCTTGCTACTTCCATTTACACTTAGGTCACACTACACATGCATGTACAAGCGTATACTGTATATACACACCCCTCTGGGTTTTCTTCTATTTTTCTTACTAGTTCCTGTCCTTGTTTATTTCCTCTTATCTCCATGGGGAAGTGGAACAGAATTCTTCCTCCATAAGCCGTGCATGTCGTAAGAGGCAACAGAAATACCAGGGGCAAGAGGCTAGTAACCCCTTCTCCTGTATACATTACTAAAGTTAAAAAGAGAAACTTTTGTTTTTCTTTTTGGGCCACCCTGCCTCAGTGGAATATGGCCAGTTTGTTGAAAGAAGAAGATATATACTTAAGCTTCAAGGGAAAGTGGAGAAGAATCCTTCCTCCATAAGTCAGAGGCAACTAAAATGCTGGGAGCAAGGGGCTAGTAACCGCTTCTACATAAATTATTAAATGTAAAAAGAAGAAAAACTTTACCTTTCTTATTTTTCAAGTCACCCTGCCTCGGTGGGACATAGCCATTGTGTTACAAAAAAAAAAAATACATATGTAACTGCCCCTCTGGCAAGCTTATGTTTTTTTGCTGTTACTGCCCCTCTGGCAAGCTTATATTTTTTTTGCTTGAGTTATTCATGAATGCGAACTCCCAGTTATACAGTGGACCCTCGCCTAACGATATTAATCCGTTCCCGAGAGCTCATTGTTAGCTGAATTAATTTTCCCCATAAGAAATAATGGAAATCCAATTAATCAGTTTCAGACAGCCAAAAGTATTAATTTTTTTTTTCATGAAATATACATTTCCCTACAAAGAAAACAATGAGACATGCACAATAACTACATAAATAAATGTTAAAATGACATTTACCTTTATTGAAGAGTATTGATGAGTGATGAGACACTGTTTTTCTTGAACACTCTGGGATTTTCAGAGTGATACATGAGTAAAGGCTTCACTTTGCAATCCCACTATCATTACAACAAAACATGAGAGTTAGCTGTCTTTCACAGGCTTGTGTCCTGGGAGTGCCTTTTCCTCCTGAGTAATGTAGGTCCTGTTTGGCATTTTCTTTCAGAACAGGCCTGTTTCGTCACAAATGAACACTTGTTGGGGTTGGAATTTTTCAGCTTCACCATGCCTTATTGCACTGTGTATGCCACTACAATTCTTAAATCTCTCAAACCAACCTTTGCTGGCCTTAAATTCACCAATATGAGTACTAGCTCCAGGCATTTTTTTCTGTTCACCTGGGTGTTAGTCGACTGTTGTGGGCTGTTCACCTGGGTGTTAGTCGACTGTTGTGGGTCACATCCTGGGGGACAAGATTAAGGACCGCAATGGAAATAGGTTAGACAGTCCTCGATGATGCACTGGCTTTCTTGGGTTATCCTGGGTGGCTAACCATCTGTGGTTAATTGTTTCTCGGTAACTGTTTCACGTTAAGCCACACCAACAACACACTCTCCACATCTTCGAGTAGTATAGCTGATGGTGGTGAAGCAACAGCTGATGGTGGTGCAGCAACAGCTGACTTTGGTGCACCAGCAGCTGACCTTGGTGCAGCAGCAGCTGACCGTGGTTCAGCAACAGCTGACTTTGGTGCAGCAGCAGCTGAAAGTGGTTCAACAGCAGCTGACTGTGGTGCAGCAACAGCTGACGGTGGCGCAGCAGCAGCTGACTGTGGTACGATAGTACGTATTTCTCACCCTTTTTACCACAGGATTGGTACTACAAGCTTTCTTTGGGCCCATGGTGGCTTATTTAGCAGTTACAAGCACTATAAACAATGGAATAATACAAAATGTATCGAGTGTATGCATGCAACCAGCCACCCTGGCTTGTAAACAATGACGGCAGGGCAGCTGAGGCGCTCAGGCTGGACCAACAGTTTTGGGAGGAATCACGTTGGGCGAGTTTTTTACCGTGAGGCGAGGCAAAATTTTTGCATTCAAATGCTTCGTATTGTGGAATTAACGTTGTGCGATGCGTTCGTTAGGCGGGGGTCCACTGTATTATATAAAATAATAAATTTAAACTTTTTATGTTTAGTTACAAAAACGTATTCCGGGTTTGTTTAAATTGAGATTTATCGTCAAGAGAAATGAGAATAACATTGCATGGCCTCTTTCACTAAGCTGCCCAATATTGCATCAGTCAGAGGTGGTGACATGTAGACCATTTGATGAATGAGTTAGTCTACTTCTAGGCAATGCAGAGACTGCTTCTCATCTTGAGTGTTATCAGGATACAACTGTGGTTTCTTTTACTATTGAATATGGTTGCTCTGGTAATTTAATGGCCCAATGTGAAATATTTGAACAACCTGACATAAAGGCCGAGTCCTTATGTCATTTAACCCTTAGACTGTCCAAACGTAGATCTACGTTCGCTCACGCAGCGCTCCGAAAGTAGATCTCCTTTTTTTTTTACACTCTTTCTTATGGAGAAATCAAGGCTGGAACACTGCGCGCAAACGCAGATCTACGTTTGGACAGTTTAAGTGTTAAGTTAGGCTGTTTAATTAGAAAAGTGTTAACAAACACAAGTTAGGAGTTTTGCCATTACTTGATTAGGTATCATTATACATATATTAACTTGCTGTACTGCTGTTTATAAATAAAAAACTAATAATAAATTAAAAATTTTAATAGTGTGATAGTTTCTTTTAAAATAATTAAAACTGTTTTGTGCCTATTTACAAATAGTTCTAGCTTCTTCAGGAACTCATACACCAGGTTTCTGGTTTCGACTTTTATTTTAATAGTTCTGTGCAACTTAGTGTATCTGTCACATAGAGACCTATGCCCCCTTACAATTTTTTTACCTTTATCATTTTCTATTTTAATGTCGGTCATTTCCCACTGAGGCAGGATGACCCAAAAAGGAAGAAAAAATTTTCATCATCATTCAACACTTTCACCATCACTCGTACATAATCACTGTCTTTGCAGAGGCACTCAAATACAACAGTTTATCCCTCCAAACTGCCAATGTCCTAAGCCCCTCCTTTAAACTGCAGGCATTGTACTTCCCATTTCCAGGACTCAAGTTTGGCTAGCCGGTTTCCCTGAATCCCTTCACAAATTATTACCCTGCTCACACTCCAAGAGCTCGTCAGGTCCCAAAAAACATTCGTCTCCATTCACTCCTATCGAACACGCTCATGCATGCTTGCTGGAAGTCCAAGCCCCTCACCCACAAAACCTCCTTTACCCCCTCCCTCCAACCTTTCCTAGGATAACCCATACCCCGCCTTCCTTCCACTACAGATTTATACACTCTCGAAGTCATTCTACTTTGCTCCATCCTCTCTAAATGACCAAACCACCTCAACAACCCCTCTTCAGCCCTCTATCTAATACTTTTAGTAACTCCACACCACCACCCTCCTCCTCCTCCTCCTAATTTCCACACTACAAATTCTCTATATAATATTTACAATACACATTGCCCTTAGACACGACATCTCCACTTCCTCCAGCCTCCTCCTTGTTGCAGCATGTACAACCCATACTTCACACCCATATAAGAGTGTTGGTACCACTATACTCCCAAATATTCCCTTCTTTGCTTCCATGGATAACATTTTTTTGGAAAGAAGTATTCACAAGATAACATTCAGAAAGCAAACAGTAATAGTAATAATAATAAAACCAAAAGACATTCATACTGAAAGAATCTAATAATTATAAATGTGAGAAATTAACATTTTCAATTAACTCCACTCGTATATTCATTATTATATTCTTTGCCTATGCTAATACTTTTCAATGAATATGGATTGCTATCAATAATCACAAATATAATTTTCATCTCAATTTTATTAGTTAAACTGCAGGCCTTGGGTTAAAAATGGACCTTTCTCTTACCCGATTTGATCCTGTGGCTGGGAGCAGCAGCTGAGTGTGATGAGATGTTGAGGTGTGGTTGTGGGAAATGGGTGCATTTGAAATTTTAAAGATGGTTCCAGAATGTTGAGATAGATTGGTACTGGAGGTGGTGGGAATGAGGGCTGGTGGTTGCTGGCTAGATGTTATGAAGCTGTTAGTCAGGTTGATGGGGCTCATGGACACTGCTCCAACACCACCTGGAGATGCTGCTGGTAGAATACCCACCTGTAAGAGACAAAGTTATCTTTATTCACAAACTATATACTATACTTTATTCATTCAAATTTGTGACCACAGAGTAAGAGTTATGTCTCTGTGAGCAGATGTGTGAAACACTTTAACACGATTGATGTATATGCTACATATTTATCTGAACTGCAAGTGCCAACTACATAATTCCCTGCTCTATAATTTACAGTTGTTTTTTTTTTCAGCATCAGTTGTCTGACATCAGTTGTTTGACAGCATCAGATATTTGAGATATGTCAGCAGACAGGTCTATGAAAGACAAGTGAAAAAAAAAGGTAGGTGGAGTGTTGAGGAATTTGTGGAGACAAATAGTATAGCTATGAAGACAAATAAAAGAGGAATGTACCAGAGCAATGTCTAGTGCCACCACACCTTTTATATGGGTGTGAGGTATGGGCATTAAATGCTGCAGCAAGGAAGCTGGAGGCAGTGGAGATGTCATGTTGAAGAGCAATGTGTAGTGTGAACATTATGCAAAGAATTCAGAGCGTATGAATTAGAAGACAGTTTGGGGTGATGAAAGTCATTATTCAGAGGACAGAAGAGTTGTCATTGAGGTGGTTTGAGCATATACAGAGACTGGAACAGAATATGATGGCCAAGAGGGTAATAAATCCAGGATGAAAGAAAGGAGGGGGAGAGGTCATCCCAAGAAGGGTTGTGAGGAGTGTGTGAAGGTTTTAAGTTGTAGGAGAATGAACATCTAGCAGGTATGTAGGCATGCCTCCTAGATGCTAAAGCTATATTTTTGAATGTGAATATGTAAACTGTTTATCCCACTTATAGTTTTCTTAGGAACATCCACATTACAAGTTCATCTGAGGTGATACAGTCAGGGTTTATCATGCTTTGTGGATTTCTTTTATGTGATACCTTTTTCTATTGGTAATCCAGTATGTGACCAGTATAGTTCACAAGGTGGAAAACGGCTAATGTGTTAATAATAAAATTATTATTACGGATTAAGTGTTGATAAGAGTGACTGAGCTTAGTACCTTACCATGGGCCTAGAACACCTGTATCTCATCAAGCAAAGAATATACCTTATTACTTTTTTTTTCTGTTTCCTTTTTCTTCAAATCTGTTTTCCATATGTGATAGGAAATATTCAACTTTCTTCTTTCCCATTAACAGCCAAGCTAATGCTCACAGAGCTTCTATAAGGCTGAGATGCCTTTCAGAGGTTCTACTCAGTTCAATTTATCCAGAAATGAAATGTGTAAATGATATAGAATAATATCTTGGCAGATCTCAGTTTTCCAGCTGGCTGGCAAGCCTTTTCCAATTAAGAGGTAAAAGCTAAAAGCAAATTGTTACCCCCTGTTCAACTAGCTGTAAACAAGGAACAGTGGTATACCCTAATCAGGGCTGAGCTTTGAAATAAGCTGTGATAGTATAATAGCTTTTAACCAGTAAACTGTATCGTGTAAAAAAAAAAAAATAGTGAAGTAACAGTTACTATCTCCATATAAAGATGTTTTCATTAAACCATATGAATATTTTTTCAAGGGATGTGTCTTGCCATTTCAGGATGACCCAAAGAAGAAAACACATTCACCTTCATTCATTCTATTACTGTCTTTCTAGAGGTGTCCCAATATCACAATTTGAATTACTTGATAGCATACTCCACTTTTTCAGAATACCAGGCAAACTGATATCTAGTCAGCATAAAAAAAAAAAATTTTTTTTGTTGTTTGTTTAGAAGTACTATCTTTATGTTTTCCAAATACTTTCATCATAAAGAACTAAATGTTTAACCTAAAGGTAAAATGTTAAATGTTAAACCTAAAACCCAATCTAACTTATTATTTTTTAAATCACTACTAACAGAATCTCCATTCTACTGAGTGTCACAACAATGCATACAACCATAATGACCTGTCTTGAATACTCACTTTGCTTTAATAGTAAACCTGTTTACTGTAATGTTTAAAAACTATTTCTCATTGCTTAGTTATTTTAAGCCAGCCGATGCTATGCATGTTAAGTGCTTTGGCATCTGCCTTAATTATTTGTTGTACCTCGTATTGACTCAAATTTTTAAATAAATAAATAAATAAATAAATGCCACAAGTATGATTACAAGTCTTGCAACATTGTATACCTTGGTTGATGAGGAGACAGAAGTAACCACTGTACTTGTTGGTGGAGCAGCACAAGTAGTGCATGATAAGTTAACAGGCAGAGGTTCCATGGTGGTGCTGCTAGATGATGGAATTGATGGTAGAGAGAGAGACCGAGCACGAGGCTTGAGTGGAGACTGACAAGAAATGTGAACACCTTCAGTCAATGGCGCTAGTATGGGTGGTAAAGGAGTTAAATCCCTACTGCAGTTCATACTCTCCACACTTCCATCTGAAAAATGGAGTTTAAACAATAATTTATAAAGTAAACCAATATTTTAAACAAAGATGGAAAATTTGCAAAGCTAAACTTAAAGGTTACGAGACTGTGTGCTATGTAGTATACATTATTACAGCAAAGACCCTGCTGTCACACTACAACTTTTCAGTTAATTGAACTTTCTGGCATTGCCTTCATATGGCTCAGTCAGAAAATATACAAGCTATCTGGTACATATGAAAATACATATGCCAGTCTTCAAATGCATCTCAGATTGCTTCTTTTTTATTATTATTATTATTATTATTATTATTATTATTATATTAATTAGGATGCACTAAACCAGTAATGAAGCAAGGGACACACAGTGCCTAGAAAATGAGAGGTAAACATCAAGAGCACATCATCAGAATCAAAACACCCCTCACTGAACTGTGTATTAGTAGAAGCCCTTGTAAAGTTAATCAAAATCATGTTGACTAACATATATCCCTTCACTATGCTTACTAACAAATCCCTTCACTTTGTTGACTAATAAATCCCTTCACTATGTAGACTAATACAAATCCCTGCTCTATGTTGACTAATAAATCTCTTCATTAAGTTGACTAACACAAATCCTTTCACTATACTGACTAACACTACTGTAAATATGTTGTCAGTATCCAAATGGTGAATTGACACCACTAAAGAAAGTATCCAAATGGTGAATTGTTGACACCACTAAAGAAAAGAAAGACAAGAACAAGTTCGTATTTGGACATTTTACTTTATTAATAAAGCTCTTAACCCTTTGAGGATCGACAGGCCCTCTCCGAAACTTGTTCTCAGGGTCGGCCAAATTTCAAAAAAAAAAAAAATATATTTTTTCTTATGAAAAGATAGAGAATCTTTTCCTGATCATAATGACACCAAAAGTATGAAATTTGATGGAAAACTTACGGAATTATGCTCTCGCGAAGTTAGCGGTCTCGACGATGTTTACGCATTGGCGATTTTGCCCACTTTGAGCCCTATTTTCGGCCAATTCCAATGTACTAGTCGACAAAAATCATAACTATTTCGCTAGAACTCCATTTTTTCTATCGAATGAGTACAAGAAACCACCCATTTACCAATTTCAGCTATCCAATAAAGTGGTCAGAATTTAGCAATTTTGCCAATTTCACACAAATTTCAAAAGATGCCAATTTCCGAATAGGGTCCAGAATAAACAAAGAAGACATTCCTGGCACTAAAATAACAAGTTCTCTGTTCGTTAGTCACATCCCCAGGCCCCTCTTATATTTCTTTGACTTTCCACTTTGAATTTTTATTCTTACAAAAAATAGAAGATTTACTGTTATGCAGACTACTGCATTAGTGTAGAAATGGTATAAATAATATCAGCGCACTTGTGAAAGAATATTAGACTCACCAGTTGACGTGTATTGGACGCTTGGCATGATTTGTTTACTTTTGAACTTTGATAAAAATCGAACATTTCTGCTACTTTGCGCTCAATTTCAAGGTACTTTTCATTGTAAAACCAGTCAAAATCATCTTAATTTCTGTAATATGTCTCCCATTCTATAAAATGAGACCAAGAAAACTAGAATACAACAATAAATACCATACGAAAATACAGTGCAAAGTCGCTGTTTTATTCCAAAAACACGGTCAAAGTTTTTTTTTCTCATTACGCAGTGTGTGCTGCAGGATTTTTTTTATACTGCACACATACTGGCCACATAGACCCATTCTTTCATATGTAGGCCTACCAGCTTTCTCTAATTAGATTTGAGGGAGCTAGAATTTAGGCGTACTAGTACGTCAAAAACACTGGGTCGTAAGCCGTACTAGTACGACCGAAACCCTCAAAGGGTTAACAGAGTAAAACACTCTGCCAATAAAAGTTTGTTTTGCAATGTGTATCATGTCTCTTCTTCAAGTACAGTGTGGAATAAAATAAAATAAAATAAAAAGACAGGAAGTATTTAGAGTCACAGATATGTAGTTATTATAGACAGGTATAATAAACATGCAGGCGTGTAAGTACATTTTCAGCAGACTATTTGCCTGAGTTTCGAGAAGAGCCAGGGCAGTTTTTGTAAGCAAGACAGTGTTGCCCCTTGCCATACTGCCAAAGATATAAAAAATTTACTATATGATTCTGAAATTTCATACTTTAATGACTGGCCTGGTAACTCTCACCAGACTTAAAGCTGATAGAGAACATTTGGAATCTTATTAAGTGCAAGCTTCATGGTAGGGACGTATCCTCTAACCCCAAAATCTCGAATGCCAGTAACAGGTGTGGCAGGGTACTGACTCTTCTATCCCCCATAAGTTAGCCTTACCAGTGCCTAGGAGATAAGGAATGCATCAAGAGGAAGGGTAATCCTACGAAATGCTAGTTTAGATGAGGAATCCATAAATATTTCATTATTTTGTTTTTAAAACAAGAGTTTATGGTAATGTAGGTAGTAGGTTGGTAGACAACAGCCGACCAGGGAGGTACTACCGTCCTGCCAAGTGAGTGTAAAACGGAAACCTGTAATTGTTTTACATGATGGCAGGATTGCTGGTGTCTCTTTTCTGTCTCATAAACATGCAAGATTTCAGGTACAACCTGCAACATCTACCTACACTTACATCACACTATACATGCACGCATCATAAGCATATACACACCCCTCTCAGTTTTCTTCTATTTTCTTACTAGTTCTTCTTGTTTATTTCCTCTTATCTCCATGGGGAAGTGGAACAGAATTTTTCCTCTGTAAGCCATGCATGTTGTAAAAAGTGACTAAAATGCTGGGAGGAAGGGCCTAGTAACCACTTCTCCTGTGTGCATAACTAAAGTTAAAAAGAGAAACTTTTGTTTTTCTTTTTGGGCCACCCTAATTCTATGGGAAATGGCCAGTTTGTTGAAAAAAGAGAAGTTTTAAGTAAGAATTCTCATTAGCTGTGTAACTGTTTATTTTTTTTAACACTAGTTGTCTCCCATCAAGGTAGGGTGACCCGACAAGAAGAAAGAACTTCCATTGTCGCTCATTCCATCACTATTGCCTGAAGGGTACTGACATCAGAATTCAAATGACCATCCAGATCACAACACCCCACACCTCCATCTGAGTGCAGACACTGTACTTCCCACATCTATGACTCAAGTCCAGCCAACCAGTTTCCTTGAATCCCTTCATAAATGTCACCTTGCTCCCTCTCCAGCAGCACATCAAATCATGAAAACTATTTGCCTTTTCTCATTCCTATATAATACACTCACACAAGCCTCTTGGATGTCCAAGCCCCCAGCACTCAAAACCTCAATTACCCCCTATGATGGCCTCTACCCCTCCTTCCCTCCACCCTAGATTAATACACCCTTTTAGTCATCCTATTTTTCTCCATCCTCTCTATATGTCCAAACCACTTCAGCTCCTCCTCAGGCCTCTGAATAATGCTTTTGTTAACACCTCACCTCCTAATCTCCAAACTCAATGCATAATATTCACATCACACATTGCCTACAAACACAATATCTCCACCACCTCCTGCCTCCTCCTCCTTGCTGAAACATTCAAAACCCATGCTTTACATCCATACAACAGTGTTGATGCCACTATACTCTGATACATTTTCCTTTTTGCCTCTATTGATAAAGTTGTTTGTCTACACAGGTGCCACAATGCACCACCCACTTTATTACATAAATGGTTTAGAAAACCAAAAAAAGTTGATAAATGAGACACTTGTGCAACATTATTCCACAATAAAGATACCCAAATGCTACACAAGTGTTTCATTCATCAACTACCCACCTTTTCCCTTCGTCAGTTCTATGGTTCACCTCATCTGTCACAGAACCATCTGCCAAAGTCCACTCCCAAATATCTGAACACATACACTTCCTCCATACTCCCTTCATCCTCTCTGATATCCAATCTGATCCGTTTATGTGGGCACATTTCTGTGACAACTACTGTATGTATAACCGACCAAAATAAAGCAAACTGAGTCAACTGCATTTACAAGCTAAATAAAACTGAACAATGCACTGTACAACATTTTATGTGCTTGCAAACTAATTAATGCTTAAGTTCACTCTAAATTACTTTCTTAATGTTTCCCTCCCAAGGTTCATCAATATATTAAAAACATACTAAAAATATGGATATCTCACAGAGAGGAGCAGGGCACCTCTCCATGAGATATCCATGAGTAAGACGAGTATGGCCAATGCGAAGACGGGAGAGAGTAGTCCCCCAACCTCGACACTGGTGACAAGAAGACGGCCAGTAACCTATACTCTCGGTTTAATAGATTGAAGTTTGTTACCGAGCATAGTAGACCAACATTGTTGCCAACAGGTGTGAAGGTGGGTAGCTATTGCAGCAAAATAGTCCATAAATGGAATACCTCTATATGAAACTGGTAGGTCATGTACTGCTGACTGCGCAGCAGTGTCTGCCTGTTCATTGCCCTGTACGTCAACATGACCAGGGACCCAACAAAAAACAATATCTTTATGCTTGGTAAAGATGCGGCGTAGCCAAAGTTGGATACGGAGGACTAAGGGGTGAGGTGTATCAAATTTCTGTATAGCCTGTAAAGCACTAAGGGAGTCTGAGACAACCACAAAGGTGACCCAAAAAAGAAACACTTATCATTATTCACACTATCACTGTCTTGCCAGAGGTGTGCTGATATAACAGTTCAGACGACCCTTCAAAACAGCAAATATCCTCACCCCTCCTTTAGAGTGCAGGCACTGTATTTCCTGCCTCCAGGACTTAAGTCTGGCTAACTGGTTTCCCTGAATACCTTCACAAAATGTTACACTGGTCTGTACACCAGTTTAAATCACCCAGAACTTTTGTAAGTTGGAATCTGAATGAATCCCAAAAATTTACCCATAGAAACAAAATTCCTAACTTTAATTACAAGATTTAGATAAACCCTCATTTAACCTTCACATCTAACTTTAGCAATTGATTATTGTCTAACCAATCAATTCACAAGCAATCCACCATAAAATAATGACATCATCCTTGGAGTCATATATAAATGAACTTTTATTGTTATTGAAAATTTGAGATTTACTACAAATATAATTTCCTTTACCTAAAAGAAGTTTGGTGCAGGTCCTACATGCACATTTAACTATGCTGGCCTTCAGTGTGGTCTTGACAATAAGATCATGTCAATGATTTAGTCTGTCCACTTCTGGTTAGGTAAGGATTTATTAGGTACACACTAAGAAACTGGAATATTAATTAACATTTCTCTTTACATCATTCCACCAATCGCTCCTCTTCCCTCCCGCACCCACTTTCCTGTAACCACAAACTTCTGCTGAACACTCAAAAATGTAGTGTTAGAGTGTTCAGCAGAAGTTTGTGGTTACAGGAAAGTGGGTGCGGGAGGGAAGAGGAGCGATTGGTGGAATGATGATGTAAAGAGAGTAGTAAGGGAGAAAAAGTTAGCATATGAGAAGTTTTTACAAAGTAGAAGTGATGCAAGGAGGGAAGAGTATATGGAGAAAAAGAGAGAGGTTAAGAGAGTGGTGAAGCAATGTAAAAAGAGAGCAAATGAGAGAGTGGGTGAGATGTTATCAACAAATTTTGTTGAAAATAAGAAAAAGTTTTGGAGTGAGATTAACAAGTTAAGGAAGCCTAGAGATCAAATGGATTTGTCAGTTAAAAATAGGAGAGGAGAGTTATTAAATGGAGAGTAAGAGGCATTGGGAAGATGGAGGGAATATTTTGAGGAATTGTTAAATGTTGATGAAGATAGGGAAGCTGTGATTTCGTGTATAGGGCAAGGAGGAATAACATCTTGTAGGAGTGAGGAAGAGCCAGTTGTGAGTGTGGGGGAAGTTCGTGAGGCAGTAGGTAAAATGAAAGGGGGTAAGGCAGCCGGGATTGATGGGATAAAGATAGAAATGTTAAAAGCAGGTGGGGATATAGTTTTGGAGTGGTTGGTGCAATTATTTAATAAATGTATAGAAGAGGGTAAGGTACCTAGGGATTGGCAGAGAGCATGCATAGTTCTTTTGTATAAAGGCAAAGGGGACAAAAGAGAGTGCAAAAATTATAGGGGGATAAGTCTGTTGAGTATACCTGGTAAAGTGTATGGTAGAGTTATTATTGAAAGAATTAAGAGTAAGACAGAGAATAGGACAGCAGATGAACAAGGAGGCTTTAGGAAAGGTAGGGGAGGTGTGTACCAGGTGTTTACAGTGAAACATATAAGTGAACAGTATTTAGATAAGGCTAAAGAGGATTTGGAAAAGGCATATGACAGGGTGGATAGGGGGGCAATGTGGCAGATGTTGCAGGTGTATGGTGTAGGAGGTAGGTTACTGAAAGCAGTGAAGAGTTTTTACAAGGATAGTGATGGCTCAAGTTAGAGTATGTAGGAAAGAGGGAAATTATTTCCCAGTAAAAGTAGGCCTTAGACAAGGATGTGTGATCTCACCATGGTTGTTTAATATATTTATAGATGGGGTTGTAAGAGAAGTAAATGCGAGGGTCTTGGCAAGAGGCGTGGAGTTAAAAGATAAAAAATCACACATAAAGTGGGAGTTGTCACAGTTGCTCTTTGCTGATGACACTGTGCTCTTGGGAGATTCTGAAGAGAAGCTGCAGAGGTTGGTGGATGAATTTGGAAGGGTGTGCAAAAGAAGAAAATTAAAAGTGAATACAGGAAAGAGTAAGGTAATGAGGATAACAAAAAGATTAGGTGATAAAAGATTGGATATCAGATTGGAGGGAGAGAGTATGGAGGAGGTGAATGTATTCAGATATTTGGGAGTGGACGTGTCAGCGGATGGGTCTATGAAAGATGAGGTGAATCATAGAATTGATGAGGGGAAAAGGGTGAGTGGTGCACTTAGGAGTCTGTGGAGACAAAGAACTTTGTCCTTGGAGGCAAAGAGGGGAATGTATGAGAGTATAGTTTTACCAATGCTCTTATATGGGTGTGAAGCATGGGTGATGAATGTTGCAGCGAGGAGAAGGCTGGAGGCAGCGGAGATGTCATGTCTGAGGGCAATGTGTGGTGTGAATATAATGCAGAGAATTCGTAGTTTGGAAGTTAGGAGGAGGTGCGGGATTACCAAAACTGTTGTCCAGAGGGCTGAGGAAGGGTTGTTGAGGTGGTTCGGACATGTAGAGAGAATGGAGCGAAACAGAGTGACTTCAAGAGTGTATCAGTCTGTAGTGGAAGGAAGGCGTGGTAGGGGTCAACCTAGGAAAGGTTGGAGGGAGGGGGTAAAGGAGGTTTTGTGTGCGAGGGGCTTGGACTTCCAGCAGGCATGCGTGAGCGTGTTTGATAGGAGTGAATGGAGACAAATGGTTTTTAATACTTGACGTGCTGTTGGAGTGTGAGCAAAGTAACATTTATGAAGGGGTTCAGGGAAACCGGCAGGCCGGACTTGAGTCCTGGAGATGGGAAGTACAGTGCCTGCACTCTGAAGGAGGGGTGTTAATGTTGCAGTTTAAAAACTGTAGTGTAAAGCACCCTTCTGGCAAGACAGAGATGGAGTGAATGATGGTGAAAGTTTTTCTTTTTTGGGCCACCCTGCCTTGGTGGGAATCGGCCAGTGTAATGATTAAAAAAAAAAAAAATATTTCAAATAACACTGGCATTTATTATTCCTGCATTCCAAACAGTACATATAGTTTATTTTACAATGTTTCACCCAGGGACTGGCTTTATCAAGCCATAACAGATATGAGAAATAAACAGCTTAAGTAATACAGAGGTTGGTTGCAAGAGTCAGGTTTTAGGTTTGAGGTACTGCAGGCACACTACTGACCCAAACTTATTTTTCCTTCTAGAACAAGTCATACTATAAAGATTGCTAAAGTTAATATACCAGTTTTATTTGATGGTGTTTGTATGTTTTATTGTAGGTGAATCCAGGCATCTATATGTGACTACATCTGGCCCTATCCCATCCACTGAGTGGGAGTTGCAGTACTATGAACACATGTTATCCATTCTGCAGGCATAGTTGTGTTCCAGATCATAAGGTAAGCTTCTGTTTCCTTAACATAGACTGAGTTCCATCCTCTGCAGGGAATACTGTAAATTCCAGCATTCCTGAGTCTGGTATGTGGCTTAGAGGACTTTAGAGATGTCACAATGGTCAGTACAAAGACCATATGAGACTTTACAAAGACCTCTAAGCCACAAACCAGACTCATGGCAAGTCTATAAGACTGAGTCCCTCTACTATGTGTAGGTGGACATAACCATGGTCAATCTGCAGGACTACTTGAAGAACCCTTCTACCCTGAGTGGGTGGACACTGCTATGGCAAGTCTGCAGGACATATATGAACCTTTGTACCATGTGTAGAGGCCACCACCAAGGCCAGTCTGCAGGATTCTTTGAACTTTTGCACACTGTGTAGGTAAACATTTACTATGGTCTGTCTGCAGGTCTGTTAGAACACTATCTGCCATGTATAGAGGACTATTACCAGGGTCAGTCTACAGGAATACTGGAACCCTTCTACCATAGCCAAGTGAACACTACCTTGGAATTTAAACATTTTCATTTCTATATATGTTGTACTTGTACCTCAAATACATCGCATCAAGTGTATATATTCCTACTGACAAAAGTAAGAAGACCTCTCTATTTGAAGAAACTGACACACACACCTCCCTGCATGGCGAGAGTCACAGGACAATCCTTGTGCTGCAGAAGCATTGATTTAAGGACAGCAACTTCTGAACGCAGAGATGATACTTCATTCTGTAATTTTTGATTGATGGATCCTAGCTCATCATATTTTATAGAGAGGTTTTCAATCCATTTCTTCTTTTTCTCTCTACATCTTATGGCAGCTGCTCTGAAAGGAATAGGATTAAATGTTTTAATAACAATATTTTCAAATGATGTCTACAGCATTGCCTTGGTACTGTACTAGTTGACTCACAGTTGACAGATTACAACTTTTTCTTTTATATTACCTCTGCTAACTTGACAAAAAAGATGTATTTTTCTACTCCAGTGTCACACCTACAGTACATCTGTACTCTTATTAGCATGCTCCTCATCACTGTCATCATGTTCATTATATACATCTGGATTCAAGACAACATTCTTAATATCATTTTCAGTGAGTTTGATAAGTAGGAATACTGTCAGAGTCAACCCATTCATTAACATACTAAGTGGCATGTAACATTGGTTTTTGTCCTTGATCAAAATACTATAACGCCCTTCCATTCTCTCCATTATTTTACTGAACTAAGAGTATGAGTTATGACTCATGAAATCTTAATAACATGATTGCAAACAAGTCACAAAATGGGTGGGGCTCAAGCCCATGGCAGGCAAGTCCTAAAGCTCACATTATTATTTATTATAATCAAAAAGAAGCGCTAAGCCACAAGGGCTATACAGCGCTGCAGGGTAGGGAAGGAAGCGAGGGTATTGGGCGGTAGAAAGGGGGAGGGATGATCAGTAGGTTACAGAAAACAGCGGGGCAGGGGATAGTGCAGGGGTAGAGGGCAGCAAGAGATTGAGGTAGAAAAGGCTGAAGGTATCATTAGAGTTTGTGAAGTAAGTCAGTTGTTGTCAAAAAGTCAATGAGAGAGTCAGGATGAAAGGTGGGTCCATCAGCGAGAAGGGAAGGTAAAGAGAGAGCAGCGGAGCGAAGACGATGTTGGAGGTATATTCTGCGTGCTCGTTGATAAAGTGGGCAGTCTAATAGAATGTGGCTAACCGATAATGGAACCTGACAATTCTCACAGAGAGGAGCAGGGCGCCTCTCCATGAGATAACCAAGAGTAAGACAAGTATGGCCAATGCGAAGACGGGAGAGAGTAGTCTCCCAACCTCGACACTGGTGACAAGAAGACGACCAGTAACCTATACTCGGTTTAATAGACTGAAGCTTGTTACCGAGCAGAGTAGACCAACGTTGTTGCCAATGGGTGTTAAGGTGGGTAGCTATTGCAGCAAAATAGTCCGTAAATGGAACACCTCTATATGAAACTGGTAGGTCATGTACTGCTGACTGCGCAGCAGTGTCTGCCTGTTCATTGCCCTGTACGTCAATATGACCAGGGACCCAACAAAAAACAATATCTTTATGCTTGGAAGAGATGCGGTGTAGCCAAAGTTGGATACGGAGGACTAAGGGGTGAGGTGTATTAAATTTCTGTATAGCCTGTCAAGCACTAAGGGAGTCTGAGACAACCACAAATGATGACATAGGCATAGATGCTGTGGCATGCAAAGAGTACGTAACCTTTATTCGGCGCATGTACACACCCTCATTTACAGGCTATCTCCCCCAACCAGCGAACCAGGTTGCTAAGAGTTGATGATGGGGCCCCGTCGTTCAACTAGTGACCAGGTTCTAGCCAATAAGAAGATGGTTTTGGCAATCGCAGAGGTTATGTGGGTACCGCTCTCCTGTCTGCCCTTGTCATTCCTATTCTAGAGCTGGTTGAAGCACGGTCTGCTATCTTGTGGCTTCTATTTCTGCCTTGCTTACCGTGGAGTGCACTATACTTATCACTGTACATAGTGTACATATTGCTGTTCTAAATTGGTGAAGGATAATATAAGTCTAAACTTTTTCTGCTGTGTTTATTTTGCTCCCATTACACCCGGGATAACAGGCCATTTGGAATCCTGGGTTGTAATAGATGCAATACGGATAAGTGCTGCAAGAATGGCATACAATTCAGCAGTAAAGATACTAGCCGAAGATAGTAAATGCCCTCGTACGACGCTGTCCGGAAACACTGCTGTGAATCCTACACCGTCAGAAGACTTAGAGCCATCTGTGTACACTGCAATGGCATGAGAATGAGAGTGGAAGTGGTCAAGAAAAAGAGAGCGGGAAGTTACCGTAGACAGTTGGGCTTTCGAGCAAGGGAGTGAGAAAGAACAGACTCGAACAGCTGGAACTTCCCAGGGGGGTAGGGAAAAGTGAGATGCTACATGAACATAGAGAGGTGGTAATTGAAGAGAAGACGAGAGCGAATGTAGGCGAAGGGAGAAGGGACGGAGCAAACAGGGGCGGCGAACAAATAAAGAATGTCTACTAATATCGGTGACCATTCTATAAATGGAAGGATTGCGGAGATCATGAGGGCGTACATAGTAGCGAAGGCAATGGGCATCACGGCGATCGGATAAGGATGGAACGTTCGCTTCTGCACAGACGCTCTCAACAGGGGAAGAGCCCCAAAGCTCACAGGGCAGTGTACTAACCACTGGACTAGCTAGCTGAATCCTATTAGAGCCAACTTTTTCAATGGCTAACACACTGACCTGTGAGTTTTAGGATTTGCCTGCAAAAGATTCGAGCCCTACCTATTTTGTGATTTGATCAACATGGGTTAGTCTGGCAACAGTAATATGTTTTACAAGATAACCATTGTCTTACATTATCATATTTAACAAGAACAGTATGCTATACACCATAAAAAGAAATATACCAATATCTTCAGCAAGAGCACCTGGTTACTGACCAGCATCAATTTAGAAAACAAAAAAATCTGCCTTTTGGTCAAGAGTAATGCAGTTTTGCTTTGCACCACTGCATTTTTAGAGCTAATGTTGGGTGTTGTAAAATGTAATAATTCTGAAGCAAAGCATGAGTAAGGTTCACAATGTAAAGCATCAAATTCAGAAACAACAGCAATGTCTAACAGGTGAGCTTACTCCCCCTGCTTCACACAAAACTACCAAGTGAGTGTGTGAATATTTCTGCTTGTTTGTCCTAGGACAAACAAGCAGATTTTTTTCAGCTATTTTAAGATAACATAGCTGAAAAAAAAATTGTGTCATTATGATTTCGTGAGTCATAACATAGCTGCTTTATAATTACTATTAAATTATATTTTTTTATTAACACACTGGCTGATTCCAACCAAGGCAGGGTGGCCCAAAAAAGAAAAACTTTCACCATCATTCACTCTATCACTGTCTTGCCAGAGGAGTGCTTTACACTACAGTTTATAAAACTGCAACATTAACACCCCTCCTTCAGAGTGCAGGCACTGTACTTCCCATCTCCAGGACTAAAGTCCGGCCTGCCGGTTTCCCTGAATCCCTTCTTAAATGTTACTTTGCTCACACTCCAACAGCACGTCAAGTATTAAAAACCATTTGTCTCCATTCACTCCTATCAAACACGCTCACGCATGCTTGCTGGAAATCCAAGCCCCTCGCACAAAAAACCCCCTTTACCCCCTCCCTCCAAGTTTTCCTAGGCTGCCCTCTACCCCGCCTTCCTTCCACTACAGATTGATACACTCTTGAAGTAATTCTGTTTCGTTCCATTCTTTCTACATGTCCGAACCACCTCGACAAACCTTCCTCAGTCCTCTGGACAACAGTTTTGGCAATCCCGCACCTTCCTCTAACTTCCAAACTACAAATTCTCTGCATTATATTCACACCACACAAGGCCCTCAGACATGACATCTCCACTGCCTCCAGCCTCCTCCTCGCTGCAACATTCATATTGTGACCCCTGAATGGGTCACAATGTATATAATGTATATTACCTGTTCATATATACCAGGAAAAGTATACGGTAGGGTTATAATTGAAAGAATTAGAGGTAAGACAGAATGTAGGATTGCGGATGAGCAAGGAGGTTTCAGAGTGGGTAGGGGATGTGTAGATCAAGTGTTTACATTGAAGCATATATGTGAACAGTATTTAGATAAAGGTAGGGAAATTTTTATTGCATTTATGGATTTAGAAAAGGCATATGATAGAGTGGATAGAGTAGCAATGTGGCAGATGTTGCAAGTACAGTGGACCCCCGCATACCGGACGCATCGCATACCATACAATCCGCATACCGGACGCTTTGATCGCAAAAATTTTGCCTCGCATACCGCCCAAAAACCTGCTCACCGCCCTTCGTCCGAGACGCGTCCAATGTGCGGCCTGAGCCACGCTCACATGTTCCGCCGGTGGCATTGTTTACCAGCCAGCCTCCGCGGTAACATCCAAGCATACAATCGGAACATTTCGTATTATTACAGTGTTTTTGGTGATTTTTTCTGGAAAATAAGTGACCATGGGCCCCAAGAAAGCTTCTAGTGCCAACCCTACAGCAATAAGGGTGAGAATTACTATGGAGATGAAGAAAAAGATCATTGATAAGTATGAAAGTGGAGTGCGTGTCTTCGAGCTGGCCAGGTTGTATAATAAACCCCAATCAACCATCGCTACTATTGGTGGTACAGCTGCTGCTGCTGCTGTACCACCGTCAGCTGCTGCTGCACTGTCAGCTGCTGCTGCACTCAGCTGCTGCTGCACTGTCAGCTGCTGCTGCTGTACCACCGTCAGCTGCTGCTGCTGCTGTAGTACCGTCTGCTGCTGCTGTAGCATCGTCTGCTGCTGCTGTAGCATCGTCTGTTGCTGCTGTAGCATCGTCTGTTGCTGCTGTACCACCATCAGCTGCTGCTGCTGCTGTAGCATCGTCTGCTGCTGCTGCTGCTGTAGCATCGTCTGCTGCTGCTGTAACATCGTCAGTTGCTGCTGTAGCATCGTCTGCTGCTGCTGTAGCATCGTCTGTTGCTGCTGTAGCATCGTCTGTTGCTGCTGTACCACCGTCAGCTGTTGCTGCTGTACCACCGTCAGCTGCTGCTGCTGCTGTAGCATCGTCTGCTGCTGCTGTAGCATCGTCTGTTGCTGCTGTAGCATCGTCTGTTGCTGCTGTAGCACCGTCAGCTGCTGCTGCTGCTGTAGCATCGTCTGCTGCTGCTGCTGCTGTAGCATCGTCTGCTGCTGTTGCTGCTGTAGCATCGTCTGCTGCTGCTGTAACATCGTCAGTTGCTGCTGTAGCATCGTCTGCTGCTGCTGTAGCAT